TATATACCTATATATATACACACACACATATAAGTGTATATATAGGTGTATATACACCTATATAGGTATATGTGTATATATATATATATACACATATAGAGGTATATGTGTATATACATATATAGAGGTATATGTATATATATATGTGTGTGTGTGTATATATATACCTATATAGATATAGGTGTATATATATACCTATATAGGTACATATACACCTATATATATAGGTGAAGGTCTAACTTAGTCTATACTCAATCTCCAGAGCACTTTCTCCATGTATATTAGAGTTTATATCTTCTCCACACAACCTAAGATCATTTAACCAAGGCACGACCCAGCAGAGTCAAATCCTGGGGAGACAGAGATCTCTGGGACATTTGCTGTCTAGAAGGGAGATCAGCCCAAAATCCATAATGGTGACAGTAGGATCCGTGCCCCTAGAAACATGTACACAGGTCGGGACTCTGCCTGAGGAACAGCTCATAGACAGTGACATTTCACTGACTCTTAGAGTGCCCAAGGATACGTATTTGGCAGGGACATGTAGTATGAATGGAGGCTTGGCAAGAGCTGAGGCAGAAAAGGGACACAGAGTCTATGTCATCAGTATCCTTTTACTCTGGTGAGATTATAGTTGATCTCGAAGACAGTGGGGTTGTCATCACTGAAGAGTTTTCAGCATCAAGAGTAACTTGACACTAAATGCATTGTAGAAAATCTATCCTGGTCATGGTGTTGAAGACCAGTGAGAAGGGTCAAGGCTGAACACAGAGAGACATTCTGTACTGTGACAATGTCCAAGAAAGAGCTGTTGGCCTGAACCCAACCAGTCCTTAAAAACAGAGCAAAGCAGAAAGATGCAAAAGCTTTTAGAAAGGACTTAGAGTCAGGGACTCTAATGACAGCATGTGAGAAAGATAAATGTCAGGGATGTATCAGTAGGAAATCAGACACACTCAAAAGACTTCTCTAGATGAGAATTTAGTGAAAGCACCATTCACAAAAGTGTGGTTATTGCAAAGGGAGCCTGGGAGGTAGCCGAGGTGCCCAGAAAGTCATCAACACTATAGACTGAAAGGACAGTGCAGGACGCAGCATTGCTGAAACTCCGTGAGAGCTGGGGGAGAATAACATCCATCTCTCTCCTCTGCCTTCCCACCTCCTGCCAATGTCCCTATTGGCTGAACAAGAAAGCAGTGGTCAGCCTTTCTGGGCTCAGAGCAGGACAGAAGAAGGAGTGCAGGGGTGGGCAAATCAAGATTACCTGGCCCAATGGGAACTCTTTAGGCTTGCATAAAGAAACCCACTTAAACTGGATTAGTTCTAAATTAAAGTGGGAGGTGGGGAGGCGAGCAACCTACTGACTCAAACAACAGCAAAGAGCAGGTTGAGCGAAGCCTTATCACAGTCCTGTGGGACATTTTTCTCTCTTGCCTTATGATTCCAACTCTTCTCTCTGCTTTCCTCCTCATGCCAGCTATTTCTCTCAGAACTTCTACCCCACCTCCAAATGCAGTAAGTACACGTCGCAAGCAGCTACTGTATTAGGCAGCACTGACACATTTTTATCATCAAAGAAAATACACTTAGCACAGTTCTAAAAAGATCACAGAAAGAAAGAAGTCACACATATTTTCTTGGAAACACGGAGGCTTTTAATGGCCTTTGTTGATGGCTGTAACATAAAAACTCCAAATACACAGTTGCATGCCTTTTCTGCTCTGAGATAAGCAAATTCATTCACTTTTTCATTCCTTCCTTCAATACACAGTCACGGAGCACCTACTATGTTCCAGAACCTGTACTGAACTCTGGAGAAAAAAAGATGAGTGAAAGGACACAGCTCCTGCTCTCCAGAGGTTCACAATCTGATGGAGGTGGCAGACAAGTGAAGGTAGTTATGATGCCAAGAGGAAAGAGTTAAGGGGTGAGGCCACTGCTAATGTGGGCTCTCTTGACAGCACACCAGTCAGTTCTAACACATTCAGGGAAGACTCCCAGAAGGAGTGATTTCAAACTGGGTGTTGCAAGATGAACAGGAGTTGACCAGGTTACAGGTTTTTTTTTTTTTTCAAGATTTATTTATTTATTCATACTGGGATACAGGCCAGAGCTGGGGGAGGGGGGTGGTGGTGTGGTAAGAGGATTCACCAGAGACAGAGTGGGGAGCAGAACAGGCTGACTGTCAAAGTACACTGCTGAGGGGAGCAGCGGGCAGGTCAGGAAAGGTCAGCCGCACCATGTGGGTCACCTCTGGGAACAGGGATTGAACTCCACTGCACCACCAGGGAGGGCCTGGTTGCAGGTATTTGGGATAGAATGTTTCAAAATTCAAAGGGAAGTGAAGAGTGAGCAGCTCTGACTGAGCACAGAATGCAGAGACTAGGGACAAACTCAGCAGGAGTCAGTTCTGGGGTGGGGGCTGCAGCGGAAAATATATGAGGGGGCGCAGAGGGATAAGGGAAGAAAAAGCTGGAGGCAACTGCAGAAAATCTTGGAGAATGTGTGGGGCAGGAATTCAAGCACACGTTTGGGAATACCGATTTAAGAATATGAAGCTCATTTAAATTCAACAACAGGCCTGGCTGGGCTTTTGCGGGGACAGTATATGACCAAGAGAGGCCAGGGTGAGAGAAACCAATGGCAGGAAATGCCAGCATCCCAGGAGAGGGAGAGAAATATGGCAGTGAAGGAGCCTGAGAAACCACATCAGAAGTCATTGCAAGGAAGTGGGGGGGTCATAGAAATGAAGAGTGGGTGTGTCAACGGACTTGAAGAAGTCAAATCAAGGACTGAAAAACAACCCTTAAGGTTAACCTCGGTAAGAGCCATTTCAGTGGAATTCGGGAAGCCAGGCAGCAGTGGGCTCAAGAAGAAATGGAAAGTGAAGAAAGGTAGATATAACTATAAAAGACAAGTCCTTATAAAATGTAGATACACTCAACTGCAGAGATCATAGTCAAAGGGCCCCCAGCACATCTCTTGACTGCACTAGAGGAGGCAGTAGAGGGAGAAATGTCTAGAATCCCAGGTGGAGAAAACCTCTATGGGTCCAGAGCACAGTTTAGCCTTGTAGGAGGAGCTGGGCTTGCACATCCACTGGTCTGAGAAAGAGGGAAGGAAGGACGAGAATAGGTACATGTGTCGCAGTGGGAAAGAAACCCTGAGGGAATCCGCCTTCTGGCTTAGTTATTTCCATGAAACAGGAGATGAAAACAGAGGACTTGAGGACATAAGTGAAGCCATGGGAGAAAAGAGAAGAGCATCAAGGGCCACGCTGAAGCATTTCCGGGCTGCACCCCAAGACCAGGTGAGGCTGAGGAGTCCCTGTGCTCAGGGACACGGTTTAACCTAGCTGTGCTCAGCGGCCCTGGGTGCAGCAGAGGAAAAACAAGATAGTGGAAGGAATGCTGGGTGGGGACTCTGCTGACAAGAAGGAAAAAGGGCTGATGAACTGGTTTATCTGGAAAGAAGTTCAAGCCAGGAGGAAACACCTGTAGTGTTTCACTTCATTTAGCAATTTGGGGTGGGGAAAGGAAATGGAGAGAGGTGAAAAGGTAAGAAGCAATGAGCAGGAGTTAGATGTCAACGCGGAGAAATTATGACTGGCGACAGAGTGCAGAGTATAGCTGTGGGAGAGGGTCATGAATCTGGAGACACATGGGTCTTTCTGACTCTGGGAACTGAATGAAAACATCTGTGAAGCAAGAGGGCTCGATGGCTTGTGTAAGTGGACACCAAAGATATCAAATTCAGCCGATTGGCTGACAACAGTGATAAAGAAGGGAAGAAGGTTCAGGAGAGGTAAAGGAATGATCTTTTGAATGTGCTCATCCGGGTGGATCCTTGGGAGAATGCAGGCACCACCTCCAGCCTGTAGTATGACGCTCAGGACAACTATCAGTCTGTATAAACTTCATGAGACGGAGGTTCCCTTCTAGAGGAGCTATGTTCAAGGTATAAATTCTATAAAAAGGTGGCACATTTGCAGTTTTGAATCATTGAAAAGGGTTCAGAGAGCGGCAGGGGTCATTCTGAAGATGAAAGGATTGGGGTGGAGGCAGAGATGAAAAAATACGAGGCCTACTGGGATTGCTCAAGTTAAAGATTACCACTTTGAGTCGAGTAGGCCCAGATGATGTAGAACTTTTGGTGACACCCCAAAAGAAGGTCTGTTCTCTAAGGTCAGACAAAACATTGGTGAGATGTTTGCAGTCCCAGAAAATGACAAGACAACATAGCGACTAGATTGGCTGGTGCCCAAGACCCTCACTCTGGGGTGGGAACCCCAGAAACCTCTTGGGATCTATAGGCAAGTTGGTCACACACCCTAAAAGATCCTAAATCACATGTACAGAGTCCAAAATAGATCTTCCTTCTGGGGAGAAAAGCAGAGGCCTCAGAGCATGGAAATAAAAGACACTAAAATCTTATTTAGTCATTACTAGGAAAAGAGATTAAGTCTGCACTAGTCAAGACCACCATGTAATTAAATCAAATGCCTAGAGGCCAATTGTGCTGGACCTGTGGTCATCAGGTATGTGTGTTTCCTGGCTTCTGTCTCAGCTTCATCCTTCAAAGATTTCTTTGCTCCTCCTAGGCCAATAGCCAGAAAAATCTCAGATACTATTCAAGTGACCTTCACATCACAGGGAATCACAAGGCTGGGGAGGTGAGGGTTGGAGAAACATTGCCTCTATGTGTTCTGGAAATATATTCAAAATTATCTAGGCAACGTAGACTTTTAACTGCAACCTCAGGTGGCTTGGGCAAAGCCCCCTTTTCTAAATATGCACCATTCTGAAGGGGTTTCAGTTCTCTGAGTTGAACGTGAGTGGCCTTTCTTCAGAACTCCACACTAACCTCAGGAAAAGGAGCATCACCCATTCTAGTGAGCCAATACCTGAACATTCCAGATCACACATAAGACCATAAACCCCAGGAACACCTGCATAGATGGATGAACTGCCATCTGAGGCTCCCAGCACCCTCCACCCTCAACTCAGATGTTTTTTCTTCCATGACATGCCCCCACACACCCATCTCCATATTCCTGTGCATATAGTCTACCACGTCATTTGTTACTACTCTGTGCTTCAATTCGTTATGTTCTGTCTGCTCTGCTATATTTGAAGTGTCTTTATCCTTACGGCCTAGCACCCAGTAAATATCTGTAAATATGTGCTGGGCTAGGACGAGTTTAAACTGAACTGAACTGAGTTGAAGTGAATCCAAATGACAGTGGGGAACACAGAACAGTATATTCCCACAGCAACAAGGTTGAGCATTACTATGACCTCCCTGGAAACCCACCACCAGAATCTGTGCCCAGTTCTCCAGTCACACTGCCCCTCCCCGACCAGCAGTTCCTCATTGCTTCTTATGGAACAGAGCTGGGGCTGGCTCATTGCTGGGCTCGGCCATGACCTGCATGGGCTGGTTGTTCAGGGCGGCCTCGCGCATCTTGTGGTACATGAATTCATTCTGGCGGAACATGCGCAGCTCCATCTCCGTCTGCACCCGCATGGCCTATGGGACACAGATAAATACACCGTAAACAGTGATGAAAGTCCCCAGGACATGGTGGTCTCTGACCTACCTTGGTCCTATTGAAAAGAGTAAACGTGGTAAATGATTCTCAGTCATTGTGATTCAACTACGTCCTCAGAAGACAGGCAGACACACACACACATACTCACTCACTCACTCACTCACTGGGCGCCTAAAGTTGTCCTGCTTTGTTAGGGAGAAGTTGTACCTCTGGGAATGTTCGTTGACAGGAATCGTCCATGAATTTGAACTGTGGCCCCTGTATTTAGCTCCCACCTAACTTTGTGGGATCATGGTCAAGGGACTTAATCCTTTCAGCCCTTGGTTTCCTTACACATGAAATGTATGTGATTCCTTTGTTCTTTAAAATAGGCCAGGGAGATTGCAGTGTGTGATGCACACAAAGATTCTTTCTCTCATATGTCCGTGCAGGAAATATTTATCAAAGATCAGGATCATTCAGGGGCTGAGGATACAGTGATTAAGACTGCTGAAGATTCTGCCTTTGACAAGCTTTAAATACTAGACAGAAAGTTGGCCTTCTCAAAGCTCATCCTCAGACTGCTTAGACCAGACAGACCCAGTCCCATGGTGCGACTCGCCTCTAAGTCCTTGGTGATCGGGTGGGAGGGTCCGTGTGTCACCAGGAGAATGGCATAGGCTTTACAGATCATCCCGTGCCCTGCTTCAATGTTTCCAGCATGCCAGTTGGTCAGCCCAGCCCGCATCACGGCCATGCCCAGTTGGGCATTGTTGGGGTGGTAAAGCTTCCTGTAGGGACATAGCAAATAATCACAATGTAATCCCAACCTTCCTAATGTCTGCATGGCACTTGCTGGCTTGTAAAGTGCCCTCAGTAATGAAATTCATCTGCTCCTATCAGCGCTGAGGCATCTGCAGCCCATCTAGGGGAAATGAAGGGCCGAGAGATACCGAACACCCCACACAGTGAGGCTGTGAGAGCTGAGACTCTTGACCTGTGACACCAGGTCAAGTCCCATGGAAAAGGGGGCCAGAATCACGCTATATACTGGAAGACAGGAATCTGGGACTCTCAGAAGTACCCCCAGGCCTCTCCCCAGTAAGATACAGGAAATTCATATTGAAAAATATGATTTGAATGTTTTTCATGGAACAGAATTTTATTTTTACCTCTTTTACCTAACGGGGCTTCCTTTGAGCATGTTGTATAGTCATCCCACATTTTCTTCAGGAGTAAGATCTCTCAAAAAAAAAAAAAAAGAACCTTCTTGTGCCAACCCACTCATTTGGCCAGAAATACAAACTCACATCCCAATGTGGACTCAGGAGGCAAGAGAGGACATTGGCATAGAGAAGGCAAAGGATTTGCATTTTATAATTTATAAGCAACAATGGCTGACACTTCTTATAATAAAATGAAACTAACAAGAATCCCTGTGTTGATTGTTAGAAGGAAAAACCTTTTCAAGTACTTAAAATTAAGCTGGAGTTAGCCTTAAGGAAATCAAGACAGACGATAACAGATGAGCTGAAGGATTTAGGAAAGCCCAGGCGTGACAAATAGGTTTCATCTCAGGTACCAGCTCTAGTTATTTGGTCATTGCTACTCAGAATACCATGGTAAAAAGGCTTAGTCATAAGGAGAAGCACATTCCATTACTAATGCCTGCTGCGGGTTCAGAAGAGAGAGGAGGCACCCTGTGTAGCATCTGGTAGCCATCACCGGAATAAGCGCATTTCCAGGAGACGGGTACCCAGGATCCACCACCTACATGTAGCCATCCACCATCCTACTGGCGTAGTGTGAGGCCTCCTCGAAGGCCTGGAGGTAGGAGAGGACCTCTGAAACAATGCTCATCATCCTCAGCATGTAGAGGTTTGTGTCAGCAAACACTGGCTCCTGTTTCTCCAGGCACTCCCGGCATAATTTCACAACCTAAAGGAGACACAGGCCTGTCCATTACCTGTGCATCAGAGCACATGCTGAATTCAAATACGAATTTCTCAAAAATTTTAGTGAAAAGACAGTCGCGAACTCCTGGTGCTTCAAGAGCCAGGTGGGAATGCTCACTTAGTAGAGGCTAGAACTCGAAGCCAGAACATTCATTCAAATATGAGAAAGTGAGCAACCCGAACCCAGTATGTCCACTGCCATCTCCATTCCTCCATCTCAGGTGCCAACCTGAGATATCACAGATCCTTCAGGGACGTTTGTCTGTGTTCCTCAGACCCAGTATCAGTGGGTTAAAAATCACTGAAAAGGTGCAATGGGTTAAAGCACAGCACTACCAAGTTAGCTGCAGCTTCAATATGAGTTCGATCCCCAGTCTGGGAGGTGACCCACATAGCTTGGCAGACCTCGCCTGTCACCCACTGTTCCCCTCAGCAGTGTATTTCCTTGATCTGCCTTTTCTGTTCCCCACTCTGTCTCTCACAGCCCCTACACCTCTGGCCTGTACCCCAGTTCTATATACATAAATAAAGGCATATTTTTAAAAATCACTGAAAAGCACCCTAAGAGATGCAAAGATTTAAGGGCAGGAAGAATCATGGTCTCACCCAAGGAACATCTTCCAGAAAAATAAACCTGTTTGGTAGTCTCTCCATCCTTACTGCTGTTCCCGTCCATCCTCCTTCGCACCCCTCTCCCCCCCCCCATAAAAATGAATTCTCACCTCATGGTACAAACCCTCAGAACGAGCCTTGTCAATTTTTGCCAGTGTATCTTTGGAGAGCTGTATCATTTCCTTCACCACATCCTGAGAGGGCTGGGCAAAGGAGGGAAAGGGAATCCATCACATCTTTGAACTCCTGCCATTTTTGACATTCAACATAACACAAGATCTACGGCTGCTACTTTCTGGGTACTTTATCTTTGCAAATTTAGCTCAAAATTCCTGTAGCTTTTCTGTCTTGCTTCTGATTCTTGTGGTAGTCTCCACTGACACAGCCCTGAGCCTGGCTGCCTGCCAGTTGTGTGTTGCTGCCTGGGGTTTTGACTCTCAATGCAGAATCTGATATTGATCCCTGTTGTATTTTCTCTGGCATTTTGGATTTTCATTCTCTCCCCCAAACTATCTGCCATTCTTTCTCTTTACTTCAAGTCAACCACATACTCTACAGGTATGCCTTTGCATCTTTTTCTATACCAAGTCATTGATTTAAATGACTGACACAGGGCTGAGGACAGAGGCCGCAAACCTGACCCAAAAAAATCATAGACCAGTGTGTCACTGGAGCTTATGAAACCCTTCCAACAGTCTTAGCATCTAGTTCATATTTCCTTGTCTCAGCAAAAGGCTATCATGGAAGAAATTGTCTCTGTTGACGCTAGACTCATGAGGTCTCCTGTATTTTACTAAGCAATCTAGTGATCTTGTAAAAAAAAAAACAAAGAAGTTTGATATTTGAAACAAGGAAGTACCACAATTAAGAAGCTAGATCCTATGATGCCACTAAAATTTTGAAGAAAAAATTTCAAAGTCTAAAAGAAAAGTGTCAAACAAATCCTCAGAGCCTAGCCCCAGGAGTAGGCAGGGTCAGAAGCTGTTAAGCAGCAGGTGTGGAAGGTCAGGCTAAGGGTGGACGCTGCAGCTAAATCTGCTCTGTAGCTGCAACAGTACTATGCTTGGTGCCTCACACACACGGGCCAGGACATGCTTCCTGGGAAACAGAGCCTTTGATTCTGTGAAAAGGGTGTTTCTGAATGAATGTGTTAGCCCTTGGGTCCCACCTGCTTTGTACCCTGTCTGAGAAGGGGACTCCCAATTTCTTTATGCCAGTTATCATTGGTCCGTCGGTCACAGCTTCCTCCTCAAACTTCAGTCTGTATAGAGTCGGACAGAGTTTGCACACATGTGCATGCATGGCTCTCTGTGTGTGAGCACATGCTCCCTTTTAATTTTCATAAATGGGAGCATACACAGCATTTGGGACTGAATTTCCCCCAAATTCATGTGTTGAATTTCTAACCTCCAGTACCTTAGAATGGAACCTTATTTAGAACTACAGTAACTGCAGATATGACTAGTTCAGATGTAGTTGAGAAGGGCCATTCACCCAACAGGTGTGGCATCCTTATAAAAAGAATGTGAGGGGAAGATAAAGAGACATGCAGAGAGGAAAGATGTGTGAAGATACATAGGAGGAAGACGGTTGCTGATAAGCTAGGGAGAGCCCTCAGAAGGAACCAGCCTTACCCGGACCTTAATCTCAGACTCCCAGCCTCTAAAACTGGGAGAGGATACTCTGACTCAGTACCCAGAACTCTTCCATGCCACAGTCCTTTCCCCTCACCCCCAACTGCATCCCCACCCCAAGGTCTATAAAGTGGTAGGACCTTTCTCAGGCCCCTTCAGTGATAGTTGACCTCCCACATCTGTGTTAAAGCACCTGCTTTTCCATCAGTGCACCATCCCAGGAGGGAACGTAGAGTAGTTGTGTGTCAGTCTCAGTGTCTTGCTTACACCACTGTAAGAAGTGATTAAAGGCTTAACTCTTGCTTTTTGGCTGTTTTAAACCGATCCTCTGCTACCTGGTAACTGAGTGCCTTCTCTCAGATCAGCCTCACAGGACAACACATACCTTGGGGTCATTTTTCACCCCTTGGAAGAGGTCATCCTTCAGCCCTTTTTGGCAGTGTTCACACGTGCAGTCAAAGTAGTACTGCTTTTTCAGCTGCTTCTTGCGTTCCTCGCTGACGTTAAGGAAGTCGATGTAGGAAACGGTCAGCTCGTCTCCTTCTGAGATCTTGCCAAGGGCCCGGAGCTCAATTCTGGAGAAGAATACAAGGAAAAGAGTCAATTAACCAGAACTATCAGAGTGGGATTTGTGTTCTTCAAGGTCTCAAAAAGTTGAGAGTCAAAGACATCAACTAGCACTCAGAAGACTCCATTCTTCCCCCCCAAAAATGACTGATCTGTAGGACAGTTTTCTGGATAATTCTGCTGCACTCATAATAATCAAATCTACTCCCTTTAGTTAATTGCTCTGGAATCAGCTCCTGTTGGTGATCACTGAAGGCAAATAAACAAAAGCTGATTCTGGCACCCCTTTGCACTGTTCACTTTTGTGTAATGGGAGATGTGGCTTTTTGGTTGAAGAAGGTGGTCAGCTAAAGAAGATGGCATTTAATTCCCTCGTTGCTGGGGTCCGACCCCCATTTACCATCATACAGTACTTTACCATGTAATGGGTACAGAATATATGTTCTTCAGGACAAAGCCCCACTTAACTTGGAAGTGGGGATCAACGGTGATGTGACTACCACTCTCTTTTGTTCCCCAGGCCCCTCCCATTTCTAGAGCTCTGCAATTCTGTAGTTCAATTAATTGAGCCACAAGTCGACAAGTTGTCTAAGTATTTCTTGTAGGGATTAGGAACAGCACCTGGAGCCCCAGAGATTTAAAATAGGAAGATCCCATGGAACAGTTTCATCTTGGCCTTTACTCCCACAGATGTGGCATCAGACACCCAAGAGTTGAAATGAACTGCACAAATGCACCCACACAGAGGCAACACCAGCTGCTCCTACCCCTATATTCTTGCAGCTCAAGCTCCCATGAGTATTATGTTCTTAACCCCAAGAGCATTTCAAGAAAAACAACCACGAGTTCATTTGGTTGTCATTAAGAAAAGTCAACCTACACCACTAACTCATTGTTGGCCAGAAGCAGTAAATATGACTAAATCAAATTACAAATAACTATCTGTCAGAAATATAACAATTGTGGGTGATATTTTCAGAACCCAATCTGGTAGGTAGTTGGGGACTATAAACAGATAGGAAGTCCTTAGTAGGTCAGCAATATTGGTAAGTTAGTCTTCATTTCAGCATTCAGAGGGACAAAGTAGGTTTTTACCAAGAAGATGTGGTCTAGAAAGGGCTGTTATGCTTTGAGGTTGGAGAGTAGCAGAAGTAAGTAGTGAAGGAGAGAAAATAAAGGAAGCAAAGTAAAGCAAAGACATGCAGATAAGTAAGGAACAAAATGATTAATTGAAATGCAAGAAATGCATTAAAAATACAACTTTCAGCAAAGACTCTGGGGTGCAGAGGACATTATAGGAAGACATAGCCAAAGAGTTTGGGGAGGGATGACCCCAGCAAAGCAGGAAGTGAGGGAGATGGGTCAGAGGAGGAGGGATGTTTGGAAGGACTGACCCACCTCATCTGGGTGTGAAACATGGATTTCACTGCCTCATGACTGAAAGACAAAACAGACACCCGAATGGAAATCATTACTATTGGCTGATTGCCTAGGCTGGGTGCACAGCATTCCAGGTTACTCCATCAAAGTGTTGGCCATCACTACAACCGCCATCCCGTCCCTTTCTAGCTGTGCTCACTTGACAAGACACAGCCTGATCGAGTAGAAAGTGCACTGGAGGAAGAAGGAGGAATTCTGAGTACCAGTGTGGAAAAGTTTCTTCCCTTCCCAGGGCCTCAGTGTTCTCTTCTATAATCTGGCTTTGAGACTGTCATGAGTCAGTGCATTTAAAAGCGGTGTGCTAAGAACCAGACAGAATGCTGTTAATATCTTACTAACAACCTGGCCAAATAAGCACTGCCACTGTGACGTCAATCTCGGGGAGAGTTTGAGCTGTGTTTGGAGACTGGTTAGGTCACACATGTGAGTATTTAAATGTTGGGGTTAGAAGTGGGGTCCTAACATCATGTGCAGTGTTCTTTCCATCACGGCGTACAGCTAGGTGGTGACTGCAGAGTTGCCTTCTCTTACATGATAGTCAAGAAGCCCTGTAAAATATGTTGCTCAGAATTAGTGTATGCAAAGAAGCCAGAGCAGACACTGGAGATGGTCTTTAGAAAGGTTTCCAGGTTCTGTGGCTGTGACGCAAGGAACACTGGGTCACAATTGCTTAGGGAGGTCCTATTGAGAAAGACCAGCCCCATTCTTTATTCTTTGCTGAGCAGGCTTTGCCCAAACAGTGAAGGGGAGATCCAGAGGCTTAGGAAGGGAAATACAGATGTTGGAGAAAGATTATCATCTGGTCCAAAATAAATTTCCCTGTTTTAACCAACTTTCTCAATTGCTTAACCTGTTGTAATCCGACAGGTCCTTGCTTCTATAAATAGAAAGAAAAAGGGGAAATCTGAGTTCTTGCTATTTAGAGGCTTAGGTTTGGTTCTTGGCTGCACTCTAGAAGCCACTGACTTTCACTTCCAGGAAGTCTGGGAGAAAACCATTCATCATTGATAGCTCAGTTGATTTGTATTTGTCCTAGGAGCCCATCTCTAAGAGCAAGAGAGATAATACTGCACAGACCTCACTCCCCAAATGCCCCAGCCTGTTCCCTCCACTACCAGGGACTGTGCTGTTAGCTGCCTCTTCTCTATTTGTGCCCCGGCTTCAAGACCCATTCTTGCTTCTCTATTCCCAGATCTATGTCTTCCTCTGAGGGTTCATCACCGAGGTTCCTTTGCTTCTGGCCCCTGGTTGGGGGTTGGCCAATTGGTGGGAGATCAGAAGATGGGAGCAGAGAGAGGTTAGGATAGTTAGTCTTCTCACTCCTCCCTGTGCCTCACCATGGTGCCAACAGAGGTGGGTTCTGCTCTAGGGACAGCCAAGCTGTGGGTGGTGGGAGGGCAGGTCCCCCACCATGGCTCCAGCTCTCACCAGCTGCAGAAACAGTACTTCTTCCACTTTCCCTGCAGGTCTAGAAGTGGTAATGATTGCATGCTGTTGCTACACCCTGGACACTACATTGGCCCTTATTATTTCCTTAAAGTCTACTACATTCTGTAAATTGTCTTTTATTATTATTATTATTATCATTATTATTATTAAATTCTCTTCAGGTGAACCCTGGTGCACCTTCAGATTTCTGCTAGGACCTTGTCTAATATATGTTCCTGTCAGGCACCTTCTAGGCTGATGTTGTCCTGCATGACCGCTGGATGATAGTTCCAGACTTTTACAATAGTAGAGGTTTTATATTTTAAAAACATTAACATCCAGGCAGCCTCAACAAACATGCAAAGGCTAAGAGATGACCCTCGTGGAATTCTTTGCTCGTCTATTCATTACTTTTCTGTGTTTCACAATTCTAAATGAAATTTTCGCCCTTTTGCTGCTCAATGAAATGCATGCTAGCTCAGGTTCAACATTTTGCCTTTGGTTTTAAGTCAAGTAGAGAGAACACCATGACTCCCACCCCATCCCAACACCTCAGCCCAAGACATACTTACTTGCCATTGTTAAATATGACGGTGCAGTTGGGCCAGCAGTCATGGTTCACCAGGCCCAGGTTGGGAAAGATACCCACACCCACTGCCTGTAGGCCTCTCTGATCACTGAGTGTGAAGCCATTGCAGTTAATCTACCCAGGGGGAAAATGAAAGAGTCAACTTACAGACATAGTCCGGGGACAGAATACCATCGTAACTGTGGAATGTTTTTAAAATATAAAAGAACAGGTCTCATCCTGGAAATATTTAGAAAGTCTGGAAACAAACAATTTTTATTTTCTAAAGGACTCCAAATGATCCAAGCCTCCACAACTGTGAGATTCAGTTATTTAAAAGAAATCTCTTGATCAATTGATCAATAGCTAGATATCTGTGTCAGTAGATACGTATACTTATATACATACAGCCTATTGGTTCTACTGCTCTGGAGAACTTTATAAAAGAAGCACTGGCATATGGGAAGGGTTTGAGCAATGTTGAGTATGATAATGTAATACTGTTATTTCATTAATTTCCCTCTCAGCCTGCTCGCCTGCACCAGGAAGGGCCTACTGTGCCAGATGGAAGACTGCTACCCCTAGAGCCCAAGGCCTGCGCCTGCTGGTCCACACACTCCCGCTCCCACCTCTTAGACTTGCATGGCCAGGATGGCCTGCCGACGTTGCTCCAAGGCAGCACTGCCCCAAAGCCCTAACTCTCCTCTCCAAGGCTTCCACAACCACTCCTCCCACTGCCCATCGGTTGGGTCTTATTTCCAGAGCAAGGGGACAGTAACTGGGGCTTTGTTCTCAATGCAGAGAGAAAAATAAAATGTAAAATGTAGATAAACAAGAAGGTATTTACCAAAGCTACCATTGAGAGATAGGGAACAGTGTTGGGGTGGAAGGAAGGCAGAGGGCTGCCAACTTCAAATGGGGTAGGACTGACCTCATACTAAGCAAGGCCAGGAAGATCATGGGATGCCCATTCTTCCTTTGGGCCTTTCACCACTCCAGTCCTTCTTTTGCTCTCTCTCTTCCCCATTTTGATCTGGTAGCATCTGGAAAGTTCTTAATTGGACAATTCCAGCTCTCACCCATCCCACCCCACTTTATGAGCAATCATACCACGCCAAAAATGTGGGAGATGTACTGCATGCTGAACTGTTGGCTTTGGGGCGGCCAGTACTGCAAGAAAGTGTCCACGTCCACCCGCAGCTCCTTCTGCTCTTCCTCCCCAAAGTGCTCCACGTGGTTCTGCAGGTCATCCACGGCGACCAGGCAGCCCTCTGTGAGCCCAGTGCCCTCTCTCTCCACCCGCCACATGATGCGTGCAGCCAGCCTGTGGAGAGGGCAGGGTTAATGAGGCCCTCCTGTGTTCATTCATTCAACACCTACCAGGTGCCCCAAGCATGCTAGGCACAGGGTCAGGCCCGAGAGAGAGTGTTTAATCAGATAGAACATCTATCATGGCGCTTCTTACAGTATTACAATTTAAAAGATCATTTAAACTAGTATTTAGTGTTATGCAGAACACAAAAAAAGGGTAGCATGATAGAGTAGTTGGAGAGAGGATGTCTGGTAATGGGGGGTGGGGATGACACGGAGAAGCGACTTTGGGCTGAAAGTGGCCTGCACAGAAGGAACCAGCTCTGTGCAGTAGGGAAGCAACTACCCACAGAAGGCCCTAAGCAAGGAATGAGTTTGGCTTGATGGAGCAACAGCAGGAAGGCCAAGTGGCTGGAGCACAGGAAGCAAGGAGTGGGGAGGAAGTAAAGGTGGAGAAGGAGGCAAGTTTCCCTTCACGTTTGTATATTTGTGTTCTTTGGGTAAACATCGAGGAGTAGAATTTCTGCATCATAATTTCAATCTTTTGAGAATCCTCCACACTGCTTCCCATAGGGACTGGGTCAGTTTCCATTCTCACCAACAGTGTAAAATGGTTCCATTATCCCCACAATTGCCAGCTCATAGTGTTTTAAAATGTGCATTTTCCCAAATTTTAAACATTGGCAGGCCAATTTTTTTATGTAAATGTTGGGGAACAACACTTATAAAACAAACCTACAGCCAGGTTCAGACAATGACTGTAATTTGAAGCACTGCTGTGACACACAGTCCCCCCTCTGCAACAGACCCCCAGACCCAAAGGGGGTACCTGGAAAGACTAATCCCATCCAGTCCCTATGAGGCTCTTTCCTGACTTGCACTCAGCCTCGCTTCCCTGGGCCTGGTAATGCTGTCACTGGTATCACCCCAATTTGACATTTGGGGGTCCCACACACCACCCCCAGGGCTACCATTTACCTGATATTCTCATTGGGCACCTTCCCGCATCTCTTGACAGCTGAACACTCATTCTTGTGGTTCAGCCAAGCATCCTTCTGGCAGGTGCGGTCACAGTAATGAGCAAACTTGCACTGCCCACAGCGGTGGAGCTTCTCCTGCCTCTTGAAGCAGGTGTGGCACACAACATTAACAAGGCTGGAAGTAGGCACAGGATAGAGGTGACTGGGGAGCACGTGGAGAGGGTACTGCACTGCCTCTTGGGAGGCCAAGATTTGGGTAGTGGTTCCATGAGCCTGCTTGTCTCAGAAAAGCTTCAGACACCCACTTTTCAAAGAGAGACTTGTTGGGCCTCCAAAAGTCCCTGCTAGCTGTAACACTCCTTCTAGCAGATATTTCCAAGTGAACTCAACATGCGAGACACGATTGTATTCTGCATATAGCTCCTCAGTTTAATTTAGCAACTGCGGATTTATAACCTACGTGCATTAAGCATTGAGAATACCACAAATTGCCAGAGGAGCAATTAAAAAAAGAGTAGGGGCCCTCGCTGGTGGCACAGTGAGTTAAAGCACAGCACGAAGAAGCTAAAGCCACTTCCTCATGAGTTTGATCCCCACCCAGGAGGTGACCCACATGGCGTGGCAGACCTCGCCTGACCCCTCCCACTGCTCCCCTCAGCAATGTTCTTTGTCAGTCGGCCTGTTCTGCTCCCCACTCTTTCTCTGGTGAATCCTCTCATCGCCCCTGCACCTCTGGCCTATACCCCAGTTCTGTATGCATACATAAATCTTAAAAAAAAAAAAAAGAGTAGGGCTCAGAATCCACAGCCCATCATAACTAGGCCACAGTGTGTCCTGCTTGAAAAGGTCATCTGTCATGAGTACTCATCCCAGTAGAATAGGACACACGGGGCCCTGAACACCTAGTAGAATAGCTAATCCCCTGGTGATGGAGAGCAATGAACTTTTTCCATCTGACTCAGTTCAGGATTTTGTCCCAAACAAGAATGTGAAGGTTAACAAGAACTGGATTGCAAGTAATTGAAGAACCCAAGTAATTGAGATTGCAATTTAAGCTCCAAATCTTGACTCTTGTTCACTTAACAGTAGGAATCTGACTAACAACACTTCATAAATTATGTAGGCAGAACAGAGTGTGGGTACTACTCACATTTCCTGCATCTGGACATTGTGTTTCCATTAATTTCTTTAGAAAAATAATCACATTTATTTAAGGTCCAATTACAAATATAGTGACTAAGCCTCCAAGCTTTCTCAACGGTGCTGCCATCAAGACAGATTCCCTTTGTTTGTCTACATTTTACAAAGCTTTTTTGATGTATAACTGATATACATAAACTGCACATATTTAAAATATTTCATTTGATTGGCCATCACCAAAGCCCCATAATGAACATACCCATCACAATTTCCTTCATGACACTGAATTTTTAATCCTGGAGTTTTCATCTTTGTTGCTACCTGATTGCTTTCAATGTTGAATGCCAAACTGTCAAGATCATTTTGAATTTTTATTGTCATCATTTTAATAACTTTGCTAAGCTTGGAGCCATCTGCAAATCTGAGAGCCTGTCTTAGGCTGGGAAGGGAAAAGAGGAGCTAATGCCCAACTTTGGGGTACCAGGAACCAGACCGGGAACACAGACCCAAGGCAGAAAAGAAAGCGAGTACTGCCAAGAGAGAAGAGCTCATCTGGCTAGGGAACAATCAGAAGCAAGCACCCGGATCCAGGCAACGCCTCCTATTGCCTGCGTGAGATGGGGGTGGGAGGACGGCTTAGCACTGCCTTCTCCTGGGCCCACATTGCCCTTGAGGGTAAATTTTCTAAATTGACTCAAAGGGAACACATCTGCCCCAGTGCTTCTCTATAATCTTCCATGCACCAACTGAATGTGTTTATAATAGGGTCTGGTTATATAGAGTGCACTCTATCTGCCAAGAGCTGTAGCTTTACTAAGTCATAAGAAATTTCAAGTTGAAAGCCCCTAGTCACCAATATCACTTTGGCCAGAGGAAAGTTGGAGACACAGCCTCAAGATACAGACTTAACCCCGGAGTGTGACAGGGAAATTGCCCTGTCACTTATATAATTTATCAGGTGTTGAGTTAATTCAAATATAGCTTCAATAGCATCTTAATGGCATAATAGCTCTAGATTCTTTAAAATCTCTTTGCTATAATAAATTTTAATTATTTTTCATGAAAAAAAATTCATCAATTTGGAATGATATTTTTTCTTATAGTGAATTCATGGTGGGTTCCAAGTATTAACCATCAAACTATTTCCTACAGGCTCACACACTTGTCTCATATTCCACTGTAAAATTTTCCTAGGGGCTAGAATAGAGTTTTATAATCTGGTGAGACCCAGAAGCCTTATGAGTTATCTCTTCATTTAGGTCTCTTGAAGTGAGCTGACCTTTCTGTCATCTCACGCATCAGTAAATCTTAGCCATGGGGTAGAATGGCTAAGAAAGAGAAGACTGAAAGTTGAAGAAAAAAAAGAAGAAAGAAAGAGAAGACTGAGTTTGGTGAAAAGCAGAGCTTCTCAAACTTTAGTGTGCATACATAACACCAAAGATCTTGTAAAATTCAGGTTCTGATCCAGTAGGGATGGGGCCTGAGGTTCACATTTCTAACAAGCTCCCGTATGATGCCAATGTTATCATGTTAAGTAACACAAATGAAGAGCTGAGAACAAACCTCAACCCTGCACCTTCCGGTGGAGTAGCCAGGGAAGTGTCAGGTAGGCAGAAAGGGAGCCTGGGGTGGGTATTACAGGAGGACTGATCTAGAATTGGGAAAAGCTCGATTCAACTCCTGATTCTAATACATAGCAACCTTGAGCAAGCACCCTCACCTCTCTGAGGCTTCATTTCCTTATGTAAAAATGGGAGTAGCAATATCTAGATCGTGATAGCTTTGATACTTGTTACAGTTGTTGTTTTTTTTTTTTTAAGATTTTTTTTTTTTTTCATACAGAACTGGGGTACAGGCCAGAGATGCGGAGGGTGAGAGGATTCACCAGAGACAGAGCAGGGAGCAGAACAGGCAGATCAACGAAGTACACTGCGAGCGGGTCAGGAGAGGTTGCCACGCCATGTGGATCTCCTCCAGGGCAGGCGGGAATCGAACTCATGCGGAATTGGCTTAAGCTTCTCAGTGCTGTGCTTTAACCCGTTGCGCCACCAGGGAAGGCCCGACAGTTGCTTTTTAATGAAATATACTCCATATTTTTGTTTAATTCATGCAAGAAGAAAATTAAAAGTAAGTTCCAAAGCCCAACCACTCTCAGAATGGTTTCAAGGGGTAAATGAAATATGTGAAATAATTTACAGCTCAGAGCCTGATACCGAGTGAGTGCACAGTATCTGTCAGCCTGGTACACTCACCCATCTGTCCTGGGGGAGGCTGGGCCCAGAGATGTCTGAGCTCCTGCTCTCCTCCAACATGCACACATCTCTGGGAGCTCCGGAGAAGAAAAGCTCCCTGTTATGGGAGAACTCCTGCAGGAGCAGCAGGGTACTTCCTTGACAAAAGGATACTTCCTCTCTTTCTCGACTTTCCCTAGTAAGAAATGACCTAAATGACTCCAAAAACCACACTTTGGATTCCCGGAGAAAGAGGCCTTCTCCCAGCCAGGCTTAACTGGGTGACCTTCATTCAGCAAGTTTCATTTTCAATGCCTAGCCTCATTTTCCCAGTTTCCACCGAGAATATTATATTTCCATTTATGTATTATTATATAATTATATAATATTGTGCTCTCATTGACACCATTATTGCAGTTGTCAAAGGGGTGGTTCAAGCAATTCTCTTGTTAAACCTTCACAACAATCCTTTCGAGTAGTGATAACAGCTGTCACAGGGGTATCACTCACAGCGGTCACTGATGTCTGACACTGCTCCCAGCACAGAAGCCAGGGAAAGGCATCAAGTTGACCAGCTTTGTCTGCAGCCCTGAGTGTGCCCTGCCCCAGCCAGTGGGTTCTCGCTCACTCTTCACTCTGCACCCTGCCCTGGACTCCATCATTTGTCAGAGACAAGAGGGATGGAAAGGCAGTTGCTGCTTAGTTCCTTGTAAGGAAATAACCAGTTACTGGACGTGTCAAAGCAAAGAAGGCACCTGCAAGATGGGCCAGCCCTCCAAAACACAACCAGAGAACTGGACCAACAGTTCTGGCTTTCTGTGTTTCTTAAAAACTCTCAGCTGTCCATGATGTCTCCCCTTAAAAATTAAAGGGGAAGGGATGTGTCTTCAGAATATTTCCTTTCTCTTCCAGATGGTTTCACTCATAGCAGAAGCATAAGGGATCAGGGAAGGAAAAACAAGAGAGAGATTAACAACTGTAATAGAGTAAAAATGAAAACAATGAACAACTATAAACCAGAGACATTCTGTGGGGGTGGGAGAGGGAATGGGATTGGAACTAGGATGGGAAAAGAGCCCTGGACTGTGGTGACAGCTCACGGGTAAACTGGTAATGGGAGGCCCATGGGGATTACAACTGAGATGGAAAATGCACAAAATGAAGAGTGATGTAACAAAATAAATAAATAAATAATCTTTAAAAAATATTTCCTCTCTCAAGTACACAAAGAAATTTATAATACTTTAAATTCCTTCTCTCCTTCCTTCCTGGTTCTTTCTATCCTTCCTTACTTCCCTCCTTCCTGCCTTGCTGGAGTATTTACTGGGCATCCATTGTGTGATGTACATCCAGCAGGGTGATAGAAGCCATAAAGATAAACAGGACAGACAGCTTGCCTTTGAGCTGGCCACAGATTGGGCTAGAACATAAACACAGATAAGTAAGCAAGGTGAGGCATGGAGTCCAGGAGTGCTGGGTACTTGCTGTAGGGTTCAAAGTAGAGACCAATGAGGGAGAGGAGGAATCCAGAAGGGCAGTCACCTGGATGGGGAAGAGGCATTGTTCTGACCCTAAAAGACGGGCAGAGTTTGTGCTCAGAGAAAGTCAAGTTCTTCCACTGAGACAAACTGGCCTGAGTCTAAGGCCTCCATGGTTGAGGGAGATGAGATGGGGAGGCAGTCACATATGACACGGGAGTAGCTGTTTGATTAGATGGTAGGAGGTATCATACTGGGAAATAATGTTATGAAGATGTCTGGTCTATGGAGGACCTGTAAAGTAACTCTCATCATGTCCCCTGCTC